CACTTATGAGAATGGAATATGAACATTTATTGCAATGGAAAATGGGAACTTGTCGAAGGAAAAGGGGCACTAATAAGCGGTGAAAAGGGCAGGGGCACTTTTCAAAGTAAATAAACGGTCACTTTTCCTATGTAAATATGTAAAAAGGGGCACTTTTGGTGTACTTGATAAAGTGAGGGCGCTGTGCCCCCTGCCCTCTCCCCCCCCCCCCCGAGGCCGCCTCTGTGTCAGATGACATTCAAAGGAAATTGAAGGTAACACAAAAGACAAAAAATAGGGGGGGGGTGGGGGTAAGAGGACACCTTTTTTTTTTTGATCTCGAAATTTGAAAAATTGTCTTTTTGTTCTGTTGGGGGGGGGGGGGTAAGGTCATCTCGTTAAGGTCAGCCAATGGCATATTTTTTTTATTTTATTTTTTTAAAAAAAATGACAACGGGGGGGGGGGGTTCATGGCCCTGGGAAGTGGGGGTGCTGGGGGTGCTGCAGCACCCCCGGAATTTTTCCAGGGGGGGGGCACATCACCCCCTGCAAATTTTTTTGGTTTGATATATTTAATGTATATCATTATATGCTTCGTTTACAAAACAGCCGACAGGCACAAATGATGATTAGAAAGAAAAAAATTATAACGTTACTTTCACAAAATCCGATAAAATGTATCCCTCAAAGAGATTTTTTATTTTTTTATTTTTTTATTTTTTTTTAATTTTATATATATATATGTCCTCTCCACCCCCCCCCCCCCGCGCTCAGTCAACGGCTGGCTGAGTCGTTGCGAAAATTTCGCAGTATATATCTCAGCAGCCCCTGTAAAAAAAATCGTTCCCAGGGCCCTGGGGGGGGGGGGTTGCTCCAAAATACACACAGGTGCGTACGCGCCTGCCGTCAACTATCGTGTTCAATGTAAAAAGTTACATCATGTTAAGCCCGTCTGAATGAAATCATATTTGACTTTTAAATAACAAAATGATTAACAAATTTAACGTTATCTTCATGAAATCCCTGAGGTGAGAAAAGAAATGATTTTATTGTAAAGAGAGCGAAATATTGAGACAAAATGAACAATTTCATATTCCTGATAGTGTGTATAATTTGTTGTTATTTCTTGCTCATCACTATAGACGGTGGAGACCCAACTCCATGCGGGGAAGTCATCCTTCTGGACGCGGACCAACCCACTGCCCAAATCACAGACGAGCATTACCGTCTCGGAGGGGCTGACGTCGATGCCACAAAAGAATGCTTTTGGTATTTCCGCGGTCCACCCGGTACGACCATTCGGCTGGACGTGGAGGCTTTGGAGCCCATGACTGAACCCTTCATCGTCTATGACGGACTCGGGATCGAGACTGATAATGACCAAGGCATCCAACTCGGTGGGCGTCACGAGAGCAGTTTCATATCAAGTGGTCGTGGACTCACGTGTAAACTACCCACAACATCAAACGACATCCACCAAGAGACTTCGGTGACCCTGCAAGCAACTCTACAAGGTACTAAACTTTGGGTCCTATTGCGTACAATAATATGGTTATAATGTGTATTTTTTTATTGCCAACTTAAGGCTCGTTTAAGCCTCGGTCACAAACGCCATTACGAACCGCTACGAACGATTTTCAGGCCATGGAAATTCGGGAAGATCATGGAAAACAGGGAGATTCTTACGAACGCATCGTTCATACGAACCTTTGTGACCATAGTTGTGACTATTCACAACTGTTTATGAGACAGGTCCCAGGTCTTTGTAATAGACATGTAGTGCGAGTACTTTTGTCTATCGTTCAAAATCAAACACAAAGTTGTATTTCTTATTGGATGCCTAGAAGGTTATCAAGTATTACTTTATGGTTTTTACCTTCACTATGGATGCCCATTCACTCATCTTTCTTTCATCTTTCCTTCATCTTTCCATGCAGAAGAGTTGTCAATCGAAGGAGCCATTCCAGGAGAGTGCGGAGGAACTATCAATCTCGACCAGACTTCTCCGATATCTCACTTCAACGTCACCAACTCCTATCCGTCTGGTGGGCCTGCCTACTGTACCTGGTACATCAATAGTCCGCCCAACACGATGATTGTGGTGGAGTTCTATGATTGGCAATTGCTTGATAACAATGAATATCTGAAGATATATGATTCAAGAGGAAGACAAATATTCTATGCTTATGGGAGAAGCGATGGAGCCCCATACCCAGTTATATCTGATTCCAGTGCCCGTGTCTTTTTCGACGCTTACTACTCTATGTCGGATTCCTATTTCGGCGTGAGAGTCAGCTACATAGGTAAATACTTCTCTAATTCGGGATCCATAATGTTCCAATAGCAGGAAGCTGGTCCCGATTAAACTGCAGTATGATATGAGCAAGCAAAGCGAGTGAGAAGTTTTTGAAAGTCGATTTATCAGAATAAGCCCAACATATGCCATTTTCCAGATTTATATTCCTGTTTATATAGGGTTTAAGAAAAATATGAATTGTCGACAAGAAATAAGACATTACTTGAATCTTCAAATTCTCGAATTTACATAATATTGCCGACCTTCGTCGTAGCCCAAAGTTATTCCCCTGCCTATTTTTGGCCAATACTTAAACAAATGCTAACAGAAGGAAGTATATGGCCCAAATCGGCGCCGATACGTATATATCCAAATTAATGTAGATTTCTTATAAATATAAACGACTAGATAGAATCCGCGTTGCAAGGAAGAGCATTACCAGACGAATTATTATAGCAAGCGACATGCATCATTTCTTCTCTGTTATGTTTCTTTCGTGTTTCGTATCATTTTTCATACTAGATGAACTGAGACATAACGATGCCGGTGTCCTCCCATCATCCGGTGGAGTCATTGAACTGAATGAAAATACGACATCGCTGACCGTGCAGTCTATGAATGTCACTTCTACGTACGTCGTTGGAAGGATGTACAACTACTGGTTTGTTACTGGTCCAGTCGGAAGACGTGTAAAGGTCGAGTTCCATCAGCTTAATGCAGGAGATTTCCATGTCTACGATAGTACTAGCACAAGTGGAATAGTATCTAGTTTCTCGAGTCCATCTATCATGCCTGAAGATAGGGTTTTCTCTCATAACGCAGGAACACTATACTTCTATTTCAGTGGGACCTATGGAGGAGTCGGTCTACTTTTTACAATAAGCATTACAGGTGAACTTTTATTTAAGAGTGGAAATAGAATGAAATTAAAATATTATTTAACAAAACGGTCTCCCTTTAGAACTGAGACCCTACTCATACTCACCCCGTTAGAAAGGTGTTCATACGAGCAGTCTGTGGAGACATAACCGTGCCCGGTAGGGTATTTCTGGAAGACCGCATCGAGCATTCGGTCTGAACAAAAAGTCATTTTTAAGAACTATATTTAAAATGAAATTCTTCAAAACTTTGATACGATCGCTAAGACTTCCGAAAAATCAACCTAAAGCAATTTCAATATCCTCGTCCATCATCTGCTAAAATGTGCAAACATTAATGTACTATGTAATTGTAACATGGGTCATACAATACGGTATTGAAATTACCCTTGAGTTGATTTCTTAAAATCTTCGCGATTATGTTCTTTAATAGCAATAAGATCGATGCATTGGTAATATGAACGTATTCATACTGTTGCTCGCAAAATATCTTCCTTTAATGAATCTAATTTCATGAAAAAAGGCATGATTTATAAATTGGAAAAAGAAACGACAGCACGGCCGACAAATAGTTTGACATCAGATAACAATCTTTAAAATAATATCTTAAATATCTTTTTCTTAACAAATTAGCTTCCACCTTAAATCCCGCCTGTACTAGTTTGTCCAGGAGGGATTAGACAACACAGGTGGCTATCTCATCAACTCAGCTCTCAATTAACATAAGAAAAGAGGATCACGGGGGACCAACGGTCACTGATTAGGCATTGTTTTCTATATAGAGGGAGACAGTAGCTACAAGTAGTACAGTGGGGCTTTAATCCATCACAATCTACTTTACTTTCAAAGGTACATTGATTTTCTTCAGGACCGTCGCCAGCATATTTGAATGGGATAAATGGGTGTCAGACAAACTTTGCCGACGGAGAAAAGTATAACGGAATGATGTTCAGAATGATGTTCAGGATGATGTTCAGATTTTTTCCTAAAAAGCAAAACAAATTAATCAATCTTTTTGCCTACATCGCCCCTGATTTTGTTATGCAAAATATCTCTGCAGATGAATACCCAGTTGTTGGGCAACAGACGTGTGGTGGTAGGGTAGAACTGGATCATTATCAAGAGTACTTCGTCTTCAACTCCCCGTACTACTACAGTCAACAGTCGGTTAGTGGAGAAGCAGACTGCTATTGGTATGTGACTAGTCCGGCAGGTAAACAGGTGCAGCTTGAATGGCTTGATATTGATACATCGAATGATTACGTGCGTGTGTACGATTACCCATCTTCAACAAGTTACCAGGTATCTTACTTCCGAGGCAACGTTGACCCAGACCTGTCACCTTTCGTGTCTACTCGAGGAGGCATCACGTTTGTGCTAGACGAGAACTCTGGTACTAGTGGAAGAGGGTTCCTAGCCAACGTCTCACTTACAGGTAATAATTTCGATAGTATACTACACACGATACTGATTATGATGAAAACACCAAGAGCCACAATGACATTGATAATAAGAATGTTGATGATAATGATTTCAAAATCATCATCATCCTTTAAACAAAGTTTAACCATGCGTATTAAAAGACAAACGTTCATTAATCTAGATTTGCCGCTCTCCACCAAGAGCAGTATAGAACATAACTATATACCGGATAACATATCCGGTGTATAGTTATTCATTGAATGCTTTAGCGTATAGGGCAGCTTGGCTAAAGCCAGAATAATAATAGTGCTCTATGGATCGACGCCTTGCGCATTCCCTGGGATATGCGCATTATACATGTCGCTATTATTCTTATACATTTATTATGATTGTTTACATTACGGTTCTCTTCTTGATCTAGACGGAACTTCGGTAGTGGGCCCAAGATCGTGCGGAGGGACAATTGGGCTGAGCAACTCGATGCCAGAATTTACACTCAACTCCCCATACTACTACCAACCCTCGTCAACTGCTTATGTGAGCTGCTACTGGTATGTACAGGCTCCCTCGGGACAGGAGGTTCATCTGACATGGTTGGACATTGACAATCCAAATCAATATGTTTATCTCTATGACTACCCATCCTCTACCAGCTACCAAATTTCCTCTACAGGTGGAGACATTGACGTGGATATATCACCTGTGGTTTCCTCACGTGGTGGATGGACAGTACAATACACTGACAGCTACTCTGGGAACAATGGAAGAGGCTTCCTTGCAGAGTTCAGTCTGAGAGGTAAAGTTGGAGGCTCTAAATATATTCATGCATTTCTATCACGTAAACTTTTCATAATACTCTTTACAATCACAGCTTCTTCCTCCATCATGTCAAAAAGGATATGCATCGACTTTTTCTTTTCTTCGGGCGTCCCTCTTCCCTTCCATGCATCATCGACTACTTCCGAGACGAATTTTTTTTTTTTTTTTTTTTTTTTGGGGGGGGGGGGGGATTGAAGGATTGATTTTGATTGCAAAAACAGATAACAATTGATTTTTCTCTGTCTTAAATTTACCCCACTCGAATCCCACGGGCCCTATATCAGTGTATATCCCAGATCTCTCTGTGGAGGGGGTGGGGGGGGAAGATGATTTTGAAAGAATCTCGTCCGTTCCCCGGAAAACTATTATTGTTCTAATTTTGGAGGGATGAGTCGTAGCTATCTTTCCCCTCCGATCTTCCTCCTTCCCCTCCTCCCGATGCGCCTGACTGTGGCAAATGCATATTATGTTATGCGCACAGTAGATCATGTTCGTAACGGAATCAAATTTAATGCATAGGCCTTCGTATTTGTTACTTGCCTCGTTAAGAATTCATTCAACTGTTACGAATGATTGTATTTCAAAGTCAGAATGCACAATACTATATTAGGCCTACGTGTTTGCTAGGTAGGGCATTCCATAATGTTACCCGACCTCTCAAACAACTTATGTAAGCAATTTGCAATCCATCTATCGAGATGCAATGATTATACAGTGCGTCCCAGAAAACGAAACCGAGAATTATCGATGGTTTATCATAAGTTAATCACAATTATAATTAATAAATGACACATATTTGGAAAGCTTAGATCCTCCTCTTTTGTTTGATACAACTCATATGATGCATATTTCACGCATGAGTGATTAAAAGCAATTTGAAGAGAAGAAACCAAATAGTCATTTGGCGGGCGATATCTGAATTTCAAGGGGAAAATCACATTTCTGGAAAGTTCAATATCTGCCGTTTCATATGACACCTCAATCAGGAAAAATGAGCCAGGAATTACAAAGTTCTGTTTGTTTAAAGTAATGCTTGCATTTCCATAATTCAAACGAGTTCGTTTTCACTGGCTGCCTGCCGTAGCAATGAACAGAGTTGACAAAAGACTTAACTCCGTTTCATTGACGATCAGCCATTCATAAAGAAGACGAAAGACCTGATGCATGGCTGATCTTCAACGAAACGGAGTTAAGTCTTTAATTTGTCAACTAGTGTTTGAAGCTACGGCAGGTAGCCAGTGAAAACGAACTCGTTTGATCAAATTATGGAAATGCAAGCATTACTTTAAACAAACAGAACTTCGGTATTCCTGGCTCATTTTTCCTGATTGAGTGGTCATACGAAAGGGCAGAAATTGAACTTTCTAGGAATGTGATTTTCCCCTTGAAATTCAGATATCGCCCGCCAAATGACTTTTTGGTTTCCTTTCTTCAAATTGCTTTTAATCACTCATGCGTGAAATATGCATCATATGAGTTGCATCAAAATAAGAGGAGGATCTAAGCTTTCCAAATATGTGTCATTTATTAATCATAATTGTGAGTAAGTTATGATAAAACATCGATAGTTCTCGGTTTCGTTTTTTTCTGGGACGCACTGTATAGGCCTACTTTCATGGTGTTGAAAATGGTCTGTTGAGTTTACCTGAGTTACTGAGTATGTTATAAACATGTTCGTTTTCTAGACACACCATATTATTCGAGCGCGGCTTCATGCGGAGGTACGATTCCACTGACACAGTCTTCACCAAATGCTACCTTCTCCACCCCGTACTACTATCAGCTGTCTACATCTAATGTTAGGATGGAGTGTCGGTGGTATATTACAAGTCCTTCAGGAAAACAGGTCCAACTGACAGTACTTGATCTAGAGACAGGCAGTTCTGAATACATATACATTTATGACCATCCGACTTCCAGTAGTTCTAGTTACCGGGTATCTTACTTGTCCGGACGCCTGGAATCGCCTGCTACTGTCTTGTCGTCACGGGGCGGAGTGCTAGTGCGTTACTACGATTCCAGCTCTGGTTATAACGGCCCAGGAGTCCTGTTCGAAGCGAGGATTCTAGGTATGAAAGAAAGGAAAATCCAACGTTAATAACATGTTACATTTTAGATGAGCTGGTAGATAAAGTTAAACTGATGATACAAGAAAGATATGCGTGGTTGTTAGTTGAAGCAAATATGTTTCCTCCTCCTGACATCTCTTTTACCCTTTAAGGTGTCTATACTTGTGTTTCCAGTGTATTTTCATCAAAACAAGACATGGGGATGGGATGGGATCTCTTTGCTTTTAAGTAATACATGTATGAGATTTACTCTGCAATTCATCCTTCTCCCCATTTTTCTTTATTCAGTGCAGACCAGGCTATTAAACAAAATGCTTTTCCCATATAATAATCAATATAGATGTGCTATAACGTAGTGGATACGTGATCGGACAGGGGACCATCATGTTCATATAGTGCATAATGGTTCGTAAAAAAGGCATTAGTTTTAGTTCTCATTAACAGAAAGATTTATTACGCTTTCGTTCTGATATCATAATAATGATGTATCGCAGCCCAAGGGCTGAATTGTACAATATTTTTACAATAGTATTTACATGATAAAATAATAATAGAACCATCACAGCATCTCAAATGAACATTACTTTATATCTCTACATGCTATTGTAGATGAGATATGAACATAATACACACAAATAATGTAATATGTAATGTAGTATAAAGGATGACCGGACAGAGACAATTGTAGCATTATATGCTTCATACTTTGAGAAGACAGGTGGAAAGAAATCCAAAGAAATACCTCCCTAGCCTATACACGCAGCTAATGAACAATAATTAGCAGCATTATAATCGATTAGGTTTACTTTCCATCACTCTTAGTTCCGTGCGCTCTCATGACCATTCGAAGAAGTGCTCTTCATTTTGTTCTTTATTGTCAACCTTCAGATGCAATGCCCTCGGAGGTGTCGGGTTTCTGTGGCGGAGTGATTCCTTTGAGTACAAGTACACCAAGGGTCACAACAACCACTCCTTTGTACAATCGAAATTCGGCATCAGATGTTACCATCGACTGCTGGTGGTACGTCAGAAGTCCCTCGGGCAAGCAAGTCGAAATGAGTATACACGACCTCCAGACTGAAAACGAGGATGTGTATGTATACGACTATCCATCGTCATCGTCGAACTACCCAGTTTCCTCTCTTCGTGGTAATGTCAGCGATTCTACGGTGGTTTCAACGAGAGGAGGTTTCTCTGTAGTTTTCGACGATCGATCGACTAGTAGAAATGGTCATGGTTTTGCCATGGACGTCGCACTGACAGGTATGACCTGAGTGGTTTAGGTAGCCAGTGCGATAACAAACTTGATTTTAAACATGTTTGATTTCATATAAGCACTCAAGTCGAGAGATACGCTTTAAGTAATGAGAATCTGACGGAAAAACAGTGTAGGTTTTTTTGGAATTCGAAGATCATAATGTAAAATCCAACGAAAGTAATCTTCATCCCCCAAATTAATCTTCAACGAGCTTTCTTTACTCTATTGATAAAAATATTCTATTTTTTTTTAATCTTTGAACTACGTACCTATAATATGATGTGTTTACCTCGTTTTTCAGATGAACTTTCGTGGGATAGTGTTGGCATTGATTCCTGTGGTCAAACGGTACACCTCGACAGTTCATCACCATCTATTGTCTTTAGAACACCGACTTATCCTGTCGAGGTTGTGAATGACCTGTACAACTGCTACTGGTATCTCACCTGCCCTTACGGATACCGGATCTCATTGCTTTTCAATGATTTCGACACTTTCTCCGGCTCCCGCTTCAGGGTTTACGATGCCTCTTCCGTTTCGTCAACCTATCAGTTGGCCGAAATATCATCTAGTTCCACACCAGGTTCTGCAGCTATCCAGTCATCCAGCAACAGTCTAACGCTTTTCTACAATGATGTTGACTGGAGTGACGTAACAAGGCAACGTGGAATACTCGCTGGTGCCTCCATTGTTCCGTCAGGTTCGATATGTTCAGTTCAGTACTGTTCGGGTTATTTTCACGTTTCACGTTACAATGGGTCATTTTGGTTTACAGGAAATATAATGGTACTAAAATTGCATAGGTATTTTTTATAAACGGAGGTACATAAGTTTTCAATCATAATGTATTTAGACAATACTATTTCATATTAACAGCTACCACCTTCTCTCTCTCTCTCTCTCTCTGTCTCTCTCTGTCTCTCTGTCCCCCCCCCCTCTCTCTCTCTCTCTCTCAAATTCACTCGGCAAGACATTAATCTAAATTTGCCACTTTCCACCCATGTGAAGGGAATAGCAACTCAATTCATGAAATGCTGTAGTGCTTTATCATAGTGGTTTTGCCATATAGGTATAGACCTATAATGTAGGGGGGATACTATCTGTATAAATCACCTAGAAATATAGGTACTAAACGCTATATTAATAACCACTATTATTATCTTATCTATCATATATTTGGTGTATGCTATATTCAGGAGAACCAACTTGGGACCAGGTTGAACCGATGTCTTCATGTGGTAGCGCTGTATCACTGACTGACCAAGATAGTCGTATCACGCTCACAACCCCTGATTACCCGGATGTAAATGGCGACTACTACGAGTGCACGTGGTTTGTAGAATGTCCCAGCCAAACGGCAGTTCGAATCGATTTTAACGACTTCTGGCTTGATTCTCAAGGGTATCTTCGCGTGCATGATGGCCCGACAACTACTAATTCCGTGATACAACAATCAACTGGTTCAAGCATACCTGATGGAGTGGTTTCAAGCAGCAACGTCATGACAGTCCACTACTACAACAACCGCGGGACCTCGGGCAAAGGAGCAAGTTTTGAAATGAGCTGTGTATTCGAAGGTAGCCGAATGGTCTTCATTGTCCTTTAAATAAACATCGTACAAATAGAAATATAAAAAAAAAACAGTCCTCTCAATGAATAAAGGATGCACAACATGGCTAGAGGAGATTCACGTACTCGCTAATCCGTCAGGTTGACTTTTCATAAGATTGAAAATAATTATGGCAAATGATGTACGCCAAAACAAAAATGAAAACCACGGTCAGCAGCCTTTATTCGGCTTCATGGTTTATCTTTGCTGCTTAAACAGAAACAAAATGAAGTATCTTTTATGACTTCTTTATGAATAGGGCCTCTTATTTTAATATTACTCTGAATATTTCCTTAGATTTTCAATTTTGACTAATGAGGCCACTGAATCTATGTGTCTTTCAGTAATTAATTCAACACCAACAATACTAAAATGTGCTTCGCCCTGTCATTTCTTCCAACCTCTTTGCTATCTCGATTCTTTAATGACTCATGACTCTGGGTTAAAAGAGGTAGAATTTCAACTGCAATGCATATTTGGAACTGTTGAGTTATGAATTTTGTGGTTTCCGTATTTTTAATTAAATATTCAGACCATGATTCTAAGTACAATATTCACAGAAATATCATAAAATCTAACCTATAATCTAAATTTGACATCCTTCAAATTTACAATGTGAATAACTTAGTGTGATACGAGTTATAACTTTAAAGTTATCAACGATCGGTGTCAATTTTTTAAACATGTAGTTTAACTTAAATTAACTCCCATCTCTCTCTCTCTCTTTCTCATCCTTCTCTCTCTCTCTCTCTCTTTCTCATCCTTCTCTCTCTCTCTCTCTCTCTCTTTCTCACCCTTCTCTCTCTCTTTCTCATTCCTCTTTCTCTCTCTCTCTTTCTCTCTCCTGTTGTTATCCATTTAACTATATCCCACGATGTTGATCACAATGCAACTGCTACATCGCAACCTACGTCGTATGGCACAACTGGTGAGTGGCTCGGAGCATTGGTAACACCTCACCTCATGTTCAGGCATATGATGCTATGTGAATAAAAAGCATCATTAACCCGTTGGCTACTGAATTATCTAATTCCCATAGGCTTAACACAGGGACCACCAGGTTCCAGTAAGCAATGGGTTAATTGAATGATAGTTAATCTCGCCCTACCCAGCCCCGAGAAAACCTTACAACAAAGACCCAAGCCCCCCCCCCCCTCCCCATCTTCCTGACGTTGCAAAATGATAGTTATCCGGGCATATAATGTAGGTGACCACGAACAAAATCTGTTCTGAGGGTTTTTCGCAATTTGTGGATTTTACAGCACAATTTTCGTTCTCTAATCAGTCATTTTACCACATTGTCTGTTTGAAGCCAGAGGGGCGTTAACACTTTTTTAAGTATTCGAGTTAACGCCATTTTGGCTTCGAACCGACGAATATTTAAAAGATCACCATTGTGCAGGGCTAGGGAATCGACAGAGAAAAGAAAAAGGATTGCCTCACAGAGTTGAGTAGCAAAATGTCTGCATTTGCACTAGACTGTTGGTTCCATCGATTTCGGCTTCTTATACTTCAAAAGTCATAAATCGGTGTAGCCTTTTCTTTTGTTAGCTTCGGTTTGTCATACGGTTGTTTGCACTTCATGAGAGTCTATTTCTCTGATAATATTTTGGTGACCCGACATTTGCTCCTGCGGCAATTGCTCCGGGCTTTATTTCGTAAAATATGGTTAGGGTTGAAATTGGGTTTTAGGTGACGTGTACGGTTGGGACTAGGAATAATATCGAGTCCAGGGTTGAAGTTAAGACCTTCTGTCAGTGCATAAAAAGGAAATTGACGAGGTTTAATCGTTGCAGGAGCATGCGTCGTACAACCCATTTTGAGAACCATCTGGAAATGATTTACTTTAACAGAAGTCAACCTGGACTGTGACAGCACATCCATGACGGTTTTCCTTGACAGAAGGATGCTATCAAACGGAACTAATGCAGAAGATGTCCATTTCGAAAATGACGATTGTGTGGGGATCAACCATGATACCACTCAAATCGTTCTATACACCAGATACGACAGGTGTTCAACCAGATTACAAGTAAATAATATTACCACAATTTATTGTGCCGTCATTTTTTAGTATGAGATTTTTCAATCAGAACTGAGGTGAATCTGTTAAACGGGCCTATCATTCTTTGAGCTTCGAAATATTTAAGATTCCTTCTTTCCTGTGTTTTTTAATAGAGCCTTTCCCACCTAGAGCCGATGAGAAGATCTAAACATCATACGGCAGCAAGATTAAGATTAAGTAGATTAATTCTCTAGGATGTTATTAGTGCTATTATCATTATCATCATTACTACTACTATTGTTATCGTTGTTATTGTTATCATCATCATCATTATTATCATTATTTTTATTTTGTATTTGTTCATTTTTATATAATTATTATTGTTATTATAATTATTTAGGAAACTGAGACCAGCATCATCTATTCTAACGTGGTGACGTACAACACACCTCAACCGATCCCAGGCACAGAAATAACGCGTGAGAACATCCTTAAGATCCCTGTCAAATGTGAGCTTGATCGCCATCGTCTCCTAGGTGATTCCTTCGTCCCGAAGGTCGGCGAGATAGTGTTCAATGAAACGGGCTACGGTGACTTTTCTCTTCGACTCGATCGCTACACAGATGCGACCTTCGACGAGTTCGCAGGTGACGACGAAGGCGAGATCATTCTTGGAGAACATCTTTACTTCGCGGTTAACCTGACATCTGTGCCTGGCTTGACTGTCTTTATCGATAACTGCTGGGCCACGCCATCTCAGTACCCGAACGATGCAAAGAGTTACATCTTCCTCGACAATGGGTAACAACATCACTCTCTCATTTCATACATTGATTTATTTATTGAAACGTATTTGTACAGGTTTTTTTTAAATATCAGCAAGAGGTAACTCAAGGGGACACCTGTTATGACTTTTGGTTTTGATGAAACAATACACAAAATCAGTAAGGATGAAGAAATTATCGCATAATGCTGCCGCAATGAAATTAATTTATTTTCCATATTAGATAAAGTTATACTGCGCTCATATCCATCCTAGAGGATGCTCAACGCACCTACAGAGTATTTTTACCCTGGCGTAAGCCATGCTGCATAAAACGCTGAAAGCATTCAGGGAGTAACTTCCTACCAGATACCCATTTACTACACCTGCATCTGCATAATAATGGATATAAGTTTTGTCAAATGACAATAGTGCAGCGGCTGCGACTCGAACCGCGAACCATAATTATGAACATAATGAACCACAATCTGGTGAAGTTTTAACTAGGCCCTTTCACCTCTCGGCGGAAAGTAAACAAACCAGTGCAACTCCGTGATTCATACGAAATATCAACATGCATCCGTATGTTTCATCCATGGTTAAAAGATCCATAATCTGTTGAATATGAATATATTGGTAGTGATGCTAAAAAGCACCATTATTCAGTGGTCAAACAAGAGATTTTTCTTTTTTTATAAATATTTTGATTAGCAAAAAGCAATTATTTATTGATTTGATTGATTGAAAAGAGCCATAATCGTACGTGACATATTATAGCACGAAATTGCTCATAATTCTCCAATTCGGGGTGGGCGGGTGTGTGCGGGCGGGCGTGCGTGTGCGGGAGAATTGTGCGTGTGCGGATGTGTGATGGTGGGTGCGTGCATGTCTGTGTGTATGTAATAAGTTTTTACCAACGCATATCAATCAGATAAGTCTAGGACCGACCTTTAACGTCATCATCCAGTTTCAAAGCTGGGTCCGATCACAGTCGGTTTGTATTATATAGGCGGCTATCATGACGGTTTTGTTGTTCTTTCCTTATCTCAGATGCTCAGAGGATCCCACCATGCACAAATTGTACTCTCCTGATCCGTCATTCTCCAAGTTTGTCATCGACGCTTTCACCTTCATCGAGGAAAACCCACAGGTGGGATGATAAGGCCATCATTCTTTTTTTTTTCCATTTCTTTTTTACAATAATTAAAGGAGAAGGTTGGGTAAAGCTTAAATAATTATTATCAATGAGCTGTCTCATTTTCACGTCAGTTTGGATAAGAATCACAGTAGAAATAGCCCTTGAAAAGGTTTTCTCATCATATTCGAAATATTACCGGAAGTAGCTAGACAATTTTGGATAAAAATTCTGTACCACATTGTGTAGTCCCATATAGGCCTACCCATTTCGTTTCTGAGTGCACTACATGTGCTTTTCAGCATTTTCAGACAAATTGATTAAATACTTGTCATTTTGATGATTTCAAACCTCAAGCTTCTGTACTACATAATTATGTAACCTTTCTACGTAACTTATAGACAATTTCTTTCACAACGCATTGATCACATGACCAGTACTAGACTTATGTTCAAACATCCGTCTTGATTTTCATAATAATAAGGGAGTTTACAGATACAATCTGCGCATGGGCAGATAAAGGTCATTTGTACCAAAATGGTAAAACCCACAGAGATGAATACTGGATATGCGCTCATGAAATTATGTAACATTATTCATTTATGCACCTACCGTACATTATATGATACGCAGGTGGAAGTATTCTTTTAAAGAGGTCAAACAAAAGGTATTTATGAAGCACATCTAGGACTTTGGCAGTTATTATTCTAAGATGCTCAAAGTGGAACTTCTCCATGTGTAAAAGATCTGTGGATATTTGGGGTCATTAATTTTTTGTACCATGTGCTATCTGTAAACTCCCTTATAGTATATGATATATGATACGTTATATGAACCTGTCTGATGGGGGCACCTCTATCATTATCATTATTGTCAGTTTGGGGAAGGGTGGGTGGGGCCCGCACCCCGCACTCCCCTCTACAACTACTTCTGAATACCAATGAACGCAACCAAATGAAATGTTATTGATGTCATAGAGGTTGGTTTACATTTATTTTTCCATGCAGGTTTTCGTTCACTGTGAGGTGCTCGTTTGTAATGATAATGACCCGTCGTCTCGGTGTTCCCAGGGATGTAAGTCTAGATTCAGACGTGGTAGCCGTCACACCCGTGGAACAAGCTCCACCCCTCATCTAATCTCTAATGGACCTCTGTCGACTGTCCACACTATGAATGCCGCGGAAGCACACAACTCTGGTAATTTCCTTTTTGTTTAAATGGAACACTTAAAGGTAATACAAAGTTTTGAGAAATTTTGAAAATTGGGTGGATAGTGTTTCTTTACAATATTTGGATATTTGGACGCCCCTGTGGATGTATTATAAGCACTAGAAAATTTAGCTTCTAAAACACTTCTGCTCTCGAGAAAAATTAAATATACAAATTTACCGGTGCTCCCGTTAAATTTTGATTAATTTCAAATAGCGACTACGACCGTACAATAGTAGATGCGACCATGAAAATCTCAGAATATGTAGTTATGTTATATAAGTTTCAAACGGGAATAGCTAATTGGTCGATTTTAGTCAAGAAACATTCTTTTATAGCTTAATTAATATCTTGACCTTGGGAAGGAGCTATACAACATAAAGAGCTTATTATTTACAATTTCATAACTCTAGACTCGATTTCAACCGCGACAACGATCACTGGAATATTGTAGGATCGTATATGCTTCCAATATGTTCATTTGAACCAAATTCATAACCCCATACCAAAACTTTGTATTACCTTTAACTTTAAAGGTGTCGTGTTTGTCTAGTGAAAACGTGGTTCGCCACTCGAGTCCCGCCACTTTGGCAAGATATTAATATAAATTTGTCCCTCTCCACCCAGGTGTTAAATGGGTCCTGGTAAGAAGGAATTCCTTGAATGATGTATTTCACTTTGCATGTATTCTATATTCATTTTCTCTTGTACAAATCTTTTTACGTTGTATTTGTATTTCACTTGTCGACCTTTATGATGACATCGTTTTAAGAATAGATGAAATTAGCTTGGATTTGAAGTTTTATCTTGAAATTTCCTTTAAAAAACTCTTTCCTTTATTCAAGACGCTTACAACGAGCCAGCGGCTGTTTCTCAGAAAGGGTCGTGTAAACTTTAAAAATTATGTATGACAGTAAGCACAGTTCTTTATATAAATCATTTCTATTTCCTTGCTTTTGGACCGGGGGATAATTTTTGTTAATTCTTCTCTTTTTTATTATTGATAACATAGTCATGGTATTCATCATCTTTATCTGCAGATGGTTCGCCCGTCAGTATGGAATCAGGCATTTTGATTGGAGTGCTCGCGTGTATCACGTGTTTGATTGTTGCCGTGGTAGCCGTTGTGCTCTACCTAATACCAGCGAGTCGCAGGTCCCAACATGGCTACCATCGAGTGAAGATCAACGAAGATGATGAATGAAGTTGAAACATCAGTTATCAAAGAGAATATTGAGTTCTAGGAGTAATGAGAATTGGGAGCTAATTCTATCTATTTAATATGTTAGTATAATACTATCGCAAAGCCTTTAAAAAAAATCAACTTAACGAAATTCCAGTAGCTCTGTCCTTCATCTTTTTCAACGAGCGGACATTGCGATGACGTATTACATAATTCGATCAGGATTCCTATAAAATGTAAAATAGGGTATTGAAATTTCCCGTGAGTTGATTTTTTTTCCCGCGTTTAATCTGCATTTCTCACTTTCCACCCAGGTGTAAATGGGTACCTGGCAATTGCTGGGGTAATAATGATTGCAGGGCCCTCATGAAGGGCCTTGATGCCGATGAGCCTTCCCCTGAGTATTATTGTCATAATTATTATCATCATTTTCAATTTTACTATTATTATAACTATTTGTATTATTATCATCAGTATTCTTATAATTATTATTCGTAGTATTATTATCATCATCATCATCATCGGCTATCCTTAAAAAACTTTGATGATGTCGGTATGAAACGTATGCCTTGGACTTGTCAATCTACCTTATCATGGTTGTGATGGTACTTTACTTTTTGTTAATCTAAATTAATAATTGATCATTCTATAGGCCTAATGAACATGGTGAAGAGCGCCAATTATTGACATCAAAGTCTAGTAAGTGTTATCATTTCGAGGATTTCATTGCGTGAAGCATTTAATTTGACATGGGATGTTATCTATTGGAGACAGGTATATCCAATGTACCACTTTCATTAGCCTATTTGGGACTCCCCTTACAGGGACTGCTGGTGTGACCAGCTACTAACAAGTATTTATTGATACCTGACTGGCTATATTGTTAGCGATTGCACAATATATACACCAACAACAAAAAAGTATACGAAATAAAAGTTTGCATAGTTATTACACTATATTATGATTATTGTTAAGCATTTTCGAATTTATTCTACATTCACTATGTTATATATCCATTTGCTAATCTTTGCTTTGGGATTCATGGTTGATATACAGTAAACTACTAAATTATTCATACTTGTAAATTTGATGTTTTTTGTGTTTTTCGCAACTCAAGAACGAAAGGTGGACTGGTTGAGTTACGGCCTTCGTTGAAAACGACGCAAACTTTAATATGTCTCATTCTCAAGAAACATAAAGCAAAACAAATCAACGTTTTGCATACTTCAAAACCAAGAACTTTGTAAGGTTATGAATAATTTAGCTGATAATTGTACATATTTTTTCGTTTTCAGGATTTATCATGGCTTACTTGGATCACGATTCTTTCTATTTTCATAAGTTTACAATCATTATATTAGACGGAGGATTTTGCAATATTATAGTAGAAGCTTTACGTATTTTTAATTTCAGTCATAGTCTTTTAAACATGTTATTAGTCTTTCGCCTGATGTGTTCTGATATAGTCTGCATCCCTTTGATAAGCACACACCGTTATGACGTTTTCCTCCTGTCGTCATGGCAATTCTACCACATTTTAATATGAATAACCGAAATTACGGAGAAATCATTGCCAAGGAGAGAGCTTTTACCCATATTCGAATCAATAATGTTACACGAAAAAAGCTCAAGCTTGTCCAACAAGTCATGGCTATAGCAACTTTCCCCCGACATAATACAGATAAATTCGAACTAAAACCAGCAACTTATCTTTAAATATTAAAAGGTTTTAATGCTCTTAAAGGCTTTGATTACAGTAACTTTAGTGTAACAAAGGACTTGTGTTATTTGGTTGTTGTAGGTATTTGTAGTTCAAACACATAGCATTCTTCATTTGTCAATTTGTCTTGTTTTGCCTATCATGCATAAAAATATAATGGTTTTACTTTTCTTTAGACCGTAGAAGTAAAGATTGCGATGTACATATATACGTACGTCTTTAAAACATGACGAAAGCATTTACTTTAATGAAAACTACCCCTAGTTTCGATTCATACCCTAAGAATTGTCTTGTATTGAAAACGAAATCGGTCTTCCAGCAAATGTAGCCGAGCTTTATTTTTTTTTCCGCTAGCGTTTTCTCTGTTTCTTTTTTCTTCTTCTCATTTTCATTGTCACTCTGTTTCATTACTACCTATTGTAGCTTGTCAAATGAATCCTCGCCGTTCTACCAAAAGTTTGCATTCACTTTGATTTCATAATTCCAAATTTAGTCGGGTCATGGATTATGACTTACGAAAACAGATATCAAAACTGGCAAGAATATATATTTCTGTTACTCTAAATGAAAATAGTTGATTAGATTTTCATTCACGTCGACCAATGCCTGTGATTATTGACCATTGAGCTCGATAAACTAATTACTTTTTACCATAAGCATGACAAGTGCAAGCCAAGGTGTCGCGGTTTGGTCAATAGGTCTCTAGACTATTGGGTACAAGGTTCGGGATTCGAATCCATGTCACAACACTAATGTCCTTTGATAATACATTAATATACACTCTGCGGCCACTCTCCACCCTGGAAAGTAAATGGGTATATCCGATAGGAAGAAATTCCTTCAATTCTCGAGCTCCTTAAGTCGACAAAGGTTTCACAATTGTAGTCTTTTTTTCATTCTTCTTTTTTCCGCCTTCAATTATTTTTTCATCTTTTGAGCCATCTTTAGCGCATTAAAAAATGGGGCTATTTTAATGAACAAGTATGTAGTATAACCCAATCATTGATGAATGCAGATTGAGTGTAATGATTTAGACAACATTTTGCAAAATTTGTATGAAAGAAAATCATAGAGCAATAAAAATACATATGCCTCAAATTGACTGATAACTTGCTTTGTACTTTGTTCTATTTGATTTTTTTGTTTTGTTGTAAAATTAACTTTTGGTCCGTAACTTTTGTGTTTGTCACGTTTTGTACTCATAAAGCTTGGATTACGGAGACAAGAATATCAAGAGAAAAAATATCGTTTCTACTTATGACGTGACGCTAGAATTTATAGTTAATGACACTTTGTAAAATCAGAATTTGTTGGTAAATTTGCTGTTCAACATTTATAGTTACCTGTAAAATAAATCAATATATTATATAATAATCAAGAGTTCATGGAGAGACAGAGTGTGAGAGATGCAGACCGAGTCTATCGGACTCTATCCTTTATAAAAAGAGAGGAGAAATTGTGAAAATGACACATAGACGAATGAGAGACAGAAAGGGATAATCCTTCTCATCCTATTTTCCAGGGAGCAGTCAGCCATTTTATACAAAGTAATAGCTAAATGATAACACTTCGTCTCCAAGGATGATTATTCCGTTTGAAATTTTGATAACCAAATATGTTTATAATTATAGCATAAAAAATACGAATATTTAATATTGTAAGACAAAAAAAAGACAAAATAGTGGTCATATTGTTAAGTCTTGTTTATTTGAATACTTTCTTTATAAAATGCAATCATTACAGAAAGACAAAATTATGTCATACAAAAAATAATTAAATTGAAAGCGATAATATTATATAAAAGCATTGTAAAACATACATGACAATACATTTTACTCGTACACTATACTGTTGCTATAAATTGCATATTAAAATACAAAATGGCAAAAATAAATACAACAAACATGTTTAGCGTCCCCGCCCGCTTCCTTTTTGGGGGCCGCCTCCTATTTTTTGTTGTTGATTTTTTGATTTTTTTTTTTTTTTTGAATTTTTTTTTGATTTTTTTTTTTTTTTTTTTAAAGAAAAAAAACATGAAAAACACTGCTAAAATGGATGTATTTCTGATTAAAAAAATAAATTAAAAAAAAATTGCCGCCATCTTGAAAAATAGCCCGAATGTCAGGGAAAATGTACCTAGCGGCCATTTTGAGCGTCCATTTGGAAAGAAAAAAAAAAGAAAAAAAGGGCCTCTTCCTTCCTATTTTTCGAAAAAACAGGACGCTAAACATGTTTTTTGTTTTTTTGGCCTAATTGTCAAAATGTATGAAAATGCTAAAAAAGCACTCTAATATGTCTATTCAAATATCAAAGACTAGCTGAACAAGTCTGAAACACTATCAATTAAGTACTGGCATATTAATATTAATCCATTTTAAGTAAAACTTGCTGGATAATATTCATAACTATATATGTTTGTATAGATGGCAAATTAAACAGTAATGCAAGTACAATACGGATATTACAGTTCCAACGATAGCAACATCAATATTAAACTTATTGGTTTATATGGTATATGTATAGTACTGTGTACAATGAATGAATTAAATCGAATAAATAGCAATATATCTTATTTTTTAATTATCATCATCTTATGAAAACGAATGTAAGTCATAATATCTGTATATATACATGTATTAACGAAACATAACATTACAAAATTAAAGGTATTTTTCCGCTTTCAAGGTTTCTGTGACCAGCATTTTTATTTAATGTTTACTACTGATTTTCACATACAAACGAGATACTACCTGAATTTGAAATAATTATGTTAGTTACATAATTCAGAATTGGAAGTCATCTGAATTTGCTTGGTAATCAGTTCGTCAAAGATTCACGTGATACCATACTTGTCCAGATATGTATGAAAACTAAAATGGTCTCATTCCTTTGTATCCGAAAACAATTATTATTCCCAGAAAGATCTCCATTTGCTCGAGACATGCGACACACTTCCCACTTAACTCTTCATAACAAAAATAACCTAGAACTTATTATTTCAAAAGATCCCTTCGCTACTGAGGGTCCCTCATGTGAACGCCCTATCGCCCATGTAAAAAGTTAATTCTGAACTGCAACTTTTATTAATTGATTCATATACATATTTATAGTATATCCATTTATTTTTATATTATTTTTTATATTCCTTTTTAAATGTTTGTATCTCATCATGTTCTATATGTAACGTTTTTAGGTTTTGTAATTGTACAGACAGGTCCCATTGGAAAATCAAAACTTGACATTGAAAGGGTCACCCTGTATGAAGAAGATTGAAATAAGATTGATAGATAAACAACACCTTTCGTAACCAGCGGATATTCTCATATATAATTCACATTTTACCAATCAATTAA